TGTGTGAATAAATATGTAATAATAACATACTTGATGCTTCATGGTAATCTTAAATGATAACACACTACTCTTTTAATGTGTGTTTCTGGTCAGGTGTTCTAAAGGCCACACAGTACAGAGACGAGTGCCTTCAGCTGAACTTCTTCCAGAATAGCTACGTAGGCAGTGAGGACTGTCTGTACCTTAACATTTGGGTTCCTCATGGCAGCTCAGGTAAAGACAGAAGCCAAAAATGTTTATATATTAAATTAGACCAGTGCTAATTGTCTTCATCCCTCTAGTATCTTCTGGTCTCCCTGTCATGGTTTGGATCTACGGAGGAGGCTTCATGATTGGAGGCTCCATGGGGCCTTACTACCTGGATAACTACATGTACTATGGAAAGGAGATAGCAGACAGAGGGAATGTTATTGTAGTGACACTTGGGTACCGTGTGGGACCTATGGGCTTCATGAGCACTGGAGATTCTGATTTACCTGGTAGGTACACACATCTTATAGAGCCTGGTACATGCTGGACTGCCAATACAGAAATACTTCCATTTAAATAGTGATTCTTTCCACAAACTTGATTATATTTAATCCTCAGGAAACTACGGTTTGTGGGATCAGCAGGCCGCCATCGCCTGGGTGCACAGAAACATCCGCTCATTTGGAGGCGACCCTGACAACATCACTGTCTTTGGAGAATCTGCAGGTGGAGTTAGTGTTAGCTTCCAGGTGAGAGTATTTGTTCTTTTTCTGACCATCTATCCATAGGTGGAACTCATTTCAAAGCAGATAGTGAAATATGTATTTCTCCTGACATTCCACCTACAGACTCTCACTCCCCACAATAAAGGGATCATCAGGAGAGCCATCTCCCAGAGTGGGGTGGCACTTTGCCCCTGGGCACTCAACAGAAACCCTCGTAGGTTTGCTGAGGAGGTACATAGCAGCTTCTTTACATATAACCACTTTTTTTTTTTTTGATCAAGTAAGGAAATAATAATACAAAACATATGCATAAAACATGGGGGTAATTACAGATAATTTGCACCCACTCTGCAGGTTGCTCGGAAGGTCAACTGCCCAACTGATAACAGAATGGCTTCCTGTCTGAAGATGACTGATCCTGGGACCCTAACAAAGGCGGGAACTGTGAATTTGCTTAGTTCACCTGATCGTAAGGACTACGTTCCACAAAACCTAATTTATACGTGATGAAAACAGTTCTGCTTAAATTACCCACCAAATTATATTCATACTAATTATTGCACAATTTCTGGCATATATATAATGATTTCTGATTGTGTGCATATCTTAGAGCCCCTTGTGTTGAACCTGGAGATAGCCCCTGTGATCGATGGTGATTTCTTGCCGGACGATCCTTCCAACTTGTTCCACAATGCAGCTGAAATTGACTACATTGCTGGAGTCAACAACATGGACGGGCATATGTTCACCAATTTTGATGTTCCATCAGTCAACCTTGATCTGGTTGTCACCCCTACGTGAGTTTGAGTGCTTTGATCAGCTTTGGAGTGATTTGGAATTGCATCATGAAACAATTTCAAACAACTTACACATCGCAAAACGGTAAACCATGATTTGGTGGCAGTAAGGAATTTTATCAGTTCTCTCTTTCTGATTGCAGTAACGATGTGAGGAGGCTTTTGGCTGCCTTGACAAAGGAGAAGGGTGAGTCTGGCCTGAACAATGCCTACTCCACGTATACCTCAAATTGGGGAAGTTTTCCCACCTGGGATACCATCAAGAAAACCATTGTTGATATTGAAACAGACTACATTTTCCTGGTTCCTACACAGGCTGCCCTTTATCTTCATGCTGACCATGCCACGTGAGAATGTGACCTTGAAATACAGATGTCACAGTTTATCTAATTAATTACTTACGAGATAAAAATACATATTTTTTTAGCAGCGGTGGAGTTATCATCACATTAATTTTCCTGTTCTTTTTGTCTCATCAAAGAACTGGTCGCACCTACTCCTACCTCTTCTCTGAGCCCAACCTTCTGGGCGGTCCTTTATTGCCCTACCCAAGCTGGATGGGAGCTGACCACGCTGACGACCTGCAGTACGTGTTTGGAAAGCCCTTCAGCTCACCACTTGTATACTGGCCAAGCCATCGCCGTGTCTCTGACTATTTGATCTCCTACTGGACCAACTTTGCCAAAACTGGGTATAATTCTGCAAACACAGATTTTTGCGTCAAAGAAATCAAACAACTGAATCACTTATTGTAATACAAATTAAAAACACATCAGTGATGTTTTCAATTTCTCTGATCAACAGAGATCCTAACAAGGGAGATTCAGCCGTGCCTGCTTCCTGGCCAACATTCACCAGAAGTGGTGAAAAGTTCCTGGAGATCAATTCTGACATGAACCAGAATTACATAAGGCAGGAAATGAGGCTGCGTTATGTGCATTTCTGGACCAGCATGCTGCCCAGCCTTCCCACAGTCACCTCTGAATAAGGGGCATGTACTATTCACTGTGGACATGTGCAGACATGTAGATCTAAATAAAGTATCAGTATCAGTGCTAGTTCATGAAAAATAAACATATTAGAGAAAATATGGTTGTCTTAGTTTTATTTGATCAACTATCAGGGGTTTCTATAATGTTTTCATCATATCTATTTTAATTCTTTCTTTTTGATTATATTATCCCTCTGTTCAGCACTTTGGCAGACACTTGATGTGGTTTAAATGTGCTAAATAAAGATGACTTTTGAATTTGCACCTGAAGCTCTAAATATGTGGAGACAAAAGGGCTAGCAAGCTAATGATAGCTTCATACCTTGCAAAGTTAGTTTAAGCACCCTTAGCTCAAAGGCCAGTTCAATTCAATTCAATTCATGTTGTTAATACAACAATATACACAGTATACAGCGAATCGAAATGCCATTTCACCCAAAGCCGCCCATAGTGCATTTATAAGAATATCAAAATATATCTACAACGGATATAAAACTAGAAATTACAAATAATAATAACTCACAAAATTTAAATAAAATGAAAAAGATAAAAAGGCCCTAATACTAACTATATCTATGTAAGATAAACAAGGACAGGACAAGAGACAATACAGCTCAGAGTGCTTTAACACTGGGTTAAATTTTCTACGGTTCCTCATATTTTTCTCTTCTTAAAAAGTGAAATGGTTCCTTTTTTTCCTGTGTTTAGTGATTTTGTGGTCCCAGATACCGATCATGTCACCACCCAATGCCCACATTCATAATGAGTATTTCACTCAGCAAATTTGGCCACCTCATCCTTAAAAGATAATTCACCTGTTATTATGTCACGAAGGGAGACAGTGATTTGACTTGTGTAAGAAATGTGTCAGCTAGTAGGATTTTATTTTCTCCTCCAGCGCCGGCAATATTAGCATCGAATGCATGATGCACATCTCTTATTCTAGCACATCCCAAAGGTGCTCAACTGGATTTAGGTTTTGTTTTTGTGGAGGCCATTTAAGCACATTGGACTCAATTGGAAACCAATTTGAGATGACCTGGGCTTGTAGTCTTTGGCCTGTAGAATACCTGACCAGAAACACACATTTAAAGAGTTGAATATTACATTTGAAAAAACATCAGGATACGTTATGTATATTAGTCTCATTGTGCTTTATCTCTTTAGCTGGTGCATACCGAGGGCTTCAGCCTTCCCACAGTGGGCTCTGAAGAAGGAGCATGTGCTATCCACTGTGGACATGTGCAGACATGTTGATCTAAAAGTATCAGTATCAGTGCTAGTTCATTAAAAATTAGCATAGCAGAGACAAATATGGTTGTCTTAGTTTTATTTGATCTATTTGAATTTACACCTGAAGCTCTAAATATATATATGTGGAGATGCCAGGGCTAGCAAGCTAATGATAGCTTCATACCTAACAAACCTAAAAGTCAACTCCTCTGATGTTTGACATCAACAAGGCATTTTTCACCCTGCTGCTCACTGGTCATTTTCTCATTTTCAGACCATGCCTTTGAACCCTAGAGATGATTGTGAGGGAAACTCCCAGTAGATCAGCAGTTTCTGAAATACACAGACTAGCATCAACAACCAAGTCATATTCAAAGTCACTTAAATTGCTTTTCTTTGCCATTTGGGGGTCAGCAGGTCATCTGGACCATGCTTACATCCCTAAACGCAATAGTTGCTGTCATGTGATTGGCTGACTAGATATGTGGCAGGTGAGTGTCATGCACATGCAGACACTGTTGCTGTATATGCACGGACCCCATAGGTGTATAGATTATGTCACAGATAAAATCAGTAGCCGTGGAAAAGCACATAAGAGATAACGCTGACTCAGCAAATTTGCACTTTATAGTAGAAATAGTTATTAATTGTAGGCTACAATAAAGGCATTTACAGTTCAGTTTTGAAGCATTCAAAACATAATGGTTAACTTTTCAGATTGGCTAGAGGAGTGTGACTCTGTGCACAGTCTGACAGCTGTGTAAACTCAATAGAGGATGGTTTCCTGATAAATAGTGGGGGAAAACTCAAAGTCACACGTGAAAGATTAATCACTTGCATGTCTTACGAAGGCTCTGGTCAGGACTGTAACACAATCTCTGTCTGTTTTGTTTGTGTGTTTTTTTGAACCAGCTCTCTATTTTTGAAGTAATTCATTAAATTAAAAAACGAGATGCCAAACATAATACTAGTAGCCTTCTTTGCATGTCCAGAATCAGACTGTCATTATTTGTCTGCGTGAAATATTTCAAAATACATCCTGACCTGTGGTCATTCTTACACATTAGGCAACTTACATGAACATTTGGCTAAATTTGTCTCTCTGCTCACTGAGTCTAAAACAACTTATTTTCCTTCTCGAAAATATGGAAATTAATGATATAATGATATGATACACGGGAAGTATTTGGGAAGGTGTAATGTACACAAGGTGGTTAAATATTATGTAACTGTGAGAAAAGCAGGCCCACGAACTTCACACAGGTCAGATGTTGTCCAGGGGAGGAGTCCGCTTTATAAAAGTCAGGGTGACAATCGGTGCCATTCTGCCAGTTACTCATGATGCTGACGCTGGGGATTTTGATAGCTGTTGCTTTGTTTCTAGAGACGGCCTCTGCGGCCTCTGTAAGTGTTACACAAAATGTGTATTTTTCATGTTTACAGGATTTTTTGTCATCTTGTTGTGCAAAGACTATTTAGCTACAAATGTATCAACATTTTTTAATCTCATTGTGCTTTATCTCTTTAGCTTGGTGTGGTGCAGACCGAGGGAGGGAAGGTTGAGGGAAAATCGAAGAGTCTGGGATCAGGCCGATCCATGGATATCTTCTTGGGGATTCCCTTTGCTGATGCTCCTGGAACATTTGAGAAACCAAAGCCTCACCGTGGTTGGGATGGTAGGTAGACTGATTAAGTTTCTCATCAGTCTTTAGCTGTTATCTCTGAAACTCTCAGCAGCCTTTTCTGCATGTCTCCTGTTAACTTTAATCAGTCAATAGAAAATTACTTCTACTACTTGCAAAGGTAGGCAAGCTAAGACCTGCGCTGTGTGAAGTAACATACACATGTATCCTGATAATTTTTCAAATGTAATATTTAACTCTTTTAATGTGTTTCTGGTCAGGTATTCTACAGGCCACAGACTACAAGCCCAGATGCCTTCAGTTGAACCTTGTGATGACTGACTACATCGGCAGTACAGACTGCCTGTACCTTAACATCTGGGTTCCTCATGGCAGCTCAGGTAAAAACAGAAATGCACAAAAGTTTATTTTAGTGCTGGGCAACGATTAAATTTTTAAAATTGTGATCGCATGAATTGCATGATTCTCTGCGAGAACACGCAGGAAAAGGCCGCAGGTTGGACTCAAACCCAGGCCCACTGCTCTCCAGCCATACACCTGCTCACCCACTGAGCTAAACCGGCACCCATAGCACTGCTATATGAGAAGTGCTCATCTCATATAGCGGATGTGCTATATGAGTTAGCAACGTTGCTATCAGTTAGCAACGCCTTTAAAGAAATAAGGTGCTTTTTAACAGCACTAATTCCTTAACACAGTAGCAGTTAAAACACTTCTTGTCGATCTCAACATAAACATGAATCTAATCAGATCCAACAAAGAATCACGAGCATAACTTTATAACAAGCACCTTTTGATCAACAGCAATTTAACATTTATAAATATGTTGATTTTTTTCAGGTACCACCAGAAACATTTTCTGTTGTCAGGGAGATGTTCAAGATCATTTACTGTCAAAGGACTTTTATTCTGTGAAGTCTGTTTATTCTTGATTTCCAGTGGAGAATCTCAGTCAACCCCCCCGCCCCAAAACCCACCTTCAGTAATCTAGATTGAGTTGACAAAATTTACTGCATTTATCTATTCCTCTAAATTGAAATTTTCTTACTCTTTGGCACTCTCTTCTGTTTTCGCTGCAGTCAGAGCATGCAAACGCAGCTCCCACTGTTCATCAATATAATGTACTGCAACTCTCAGGTAATTATGGTTACCTAGTGACATCCACTAGATTCCAGAGGGAGCAACAGCTAGTGCACATAATGACACAGTTGCTTTCATAGTGCTCTCCTTTTTGTACAGCTTGTGAATTCTGGTGTGTCTTGAGGGAGGCTCATCAGACCGACATCTTCCACGATAATAATGGACTTGCAGTTTGTAGCTAGCCACTTTGTTATGGCGATTGTTAGCTTCTCCCGTTTTGTTTAACTATACTTCTCCTACAAGCTGCATCCAATGTAGTCTGCCGATCCTCCTGCCACTGTTTGTTTAAGTGGGTGTTTTGCTGGCATCAATAGCTTGTAATGCATTTAAGTGATACTTCAGACTTGAAGTACAGTGGTCCCTCGTTTATCGTGCAAGTTACGCTCTAAAAATAACCAGCGATAGGTGAAATCCATGAAGTAGTCAGCTTTATTTTTTACAGTTATTATAGATGTGTTAAGGCTGTAAAACCCCTCACTACACACTTTAGACACTTTTCTCAGACAGACATGAACATTTTCACACTTTTCTCTCTTGTTTAAACACTCTCAAAGTTCAAACCTTCGTAGAAAAATAAATCCAGTATTATAGAATGAAACCAAAGATCAAACCCTGTTTAATGCGCCTTATAATCTGGTGTGCCTTATGGTCCAAAAAATACAGTAACTTATACCTTCCTTCAGCATACCCAGAAGTCCAACTTTTTGTGCGGTGGTTAGCATCTTCCTCTGCCTTTTGGGTGCTACCACAGGTGCCTTTGACGGTGCAAAAGGTTTCGTTGACACTGTTGTGTTTGTTGGGGAGATAACTTACAAACATACAGTACAGCACGTAAGAGTCATACTGCTAGCGATCAAAGATTTATGTTAATTTGACAAGCTGAACACATTCTGTACTGTACAGGAGACACGGCATGAGATTGATTGACAATGGTCTACAGTCAATAAGAACGCAGAATACAATGCGCAGGGGAAAAAAAGGACGCAAAATTGCACACACACAAAAAAAAAATCTGTGAAACAGCGAGGCTGCAAAAGGTGAACCGCGTTATAGCGAGAGACCACTGTACTCCGATGATAAGAAAACTCAACTTTGCAGCTCTTACAAATAACTTTAGTTCTATCAACTCTGCCCTGCAGTACTATCGAGCCCACCATAAATGATCTCATTGGTTGAGATGCATAATGTCACCCATTTCAAGCCTGCACAGATCAACATCCCATCCCTCCTGTGACCCGTGGCTTTTTATGTTCTGAGGCAGTTAGCATGGACCTTCAAAATAAAATAATTGTCGTTATTAATCAATGAATGCGTTGATGTGATAATAACGCATTAACTTGCGCAGCCCTAGGTTATTTGTTTATTTTTTAATGTAAATTAGACAAAGACTAAATTTCACTAACTTTGTCCTCTAGTATCTGCCGGTCTCCCTGTCATGGTTTGGATCTATGGAGGAGGCTTCCTGGTTGGAGGCTCCATGGGTGCGAACTTCCTGGATAATTACCTGTACAGCGGACAGGAGATTGCAGACAGAGGGAATGTTATTGTAGTGACGGTGGGGTACCGTGTGGGAACACTGGGTTTCCTGAGCAGTGGAGACTCTGGCTTGCCTGGTAAGTTACACACACTTTACAGAGCCTGGTACATGCTAGGTTGCCATTTATAAAAATACTTCCATTAAAGCAGTGATTCTTCTCATGAGCTGAAATATATTTGATCCCCAGGAAACTACGGTTTGTGGGATCAGCAGGCTGCCATTGCTTGGGTACACAGAAACATCCGCTCATTTGGAGGTGACCCTGGCAACATCACCATCTTTGGGGAATCTGCAGGTGGAGCTAGTGTTAGCTTCCAGGTGAAAATACATTTCCACAGATATGTATATATACACACATACCGTATTTCCCGGACTACAAAGCACACCTAAATATTAGCCGCACAAGCTAAAATCAGGGGAAAATCCTGTTTTGTACATACATTAGCCGCACCTGACCAAAAGCCGCAGGTGTTTCAATGTTGACTTATCATATGTAAGAGAATATGCACAAAGGGAATTGTCAGGAAAGAGATGGCTGTTTGGAGACATCACTTTTATTAATATTTTGAAAAACAAGTTATGGGTACATATTTGCACATGTAGTACATAACAGTAGCCTACAGCACACCAGAAAAATAGATTCGGACTACCTTTTAGGCTCAGGTGCAGTGACACAGCTTTAACAAGAAGAAAAGTCAGTCATTCACCACCATCTTTCTCTTCTTCCTGCGCACTAAAACCACCAAAGTCCTCTTCTCCAGTGTCGGATACAAACAGGCTCAGGATGGCTTCGTCATCCACTCTTCTTCTCTCCTTCGTTGTCACTTTCAAAACCAAAGAAATCCTCGTTGTCAGTGTCAGAGTCGAACACCCTCAGAAGGGCCGTGGCGGTGTCCTCCTCTCCATCATGCAGCAGTCCAGCCCTTCAAAATCCGTTGGTGATCGTGGATGTTTTCACACTTTTCCACGCTGTCAGAATCCACCGGTGGAGTTGGGCATAACTTGCTTTTTGGGCATAACTTGCAAGTTTATCGCCGCTCATCATCCACGACTCCCGCTGAACGCGTACCGCTACTTTGAAGTTTGTTTTTCGCGCTACTTCGTACGGCACTACGTTGCCTGGCGGACGGACATGTGACTAACATACCACTCTTGAACCCCGATCCTTCCGCCAGGCAACGTAGTGCCGTACAACAGCGGAACACACAAAACAAATCGTCTTACGATATGACAAAAATCACGGACAATCCATAGAAAAGCCGCACCTGACTAAAAGCCGCAGGGTTCAAAGCTTGTGCAAAAAGTAGCGGCTTATAGCCCGACATTTACGGTATATCAAAATCCTTGGTTGTTAGAACCAGTGACCATATTTGGACAAGATTATAGAGTTTTGAGCTATAAACTCACACTGGCAACTTAGTTTGCAAGGAACTGAAGAAGCGAATTCCTGCACAAACTGTTTGCTAAAATAAAAACACTGTAAGCAACATCACAGTCAACAGATCAAATTTAGTCATTTATGTTGAGGTGACACTTACAGCAGACCTAGACCTGGTTCTCACCCATCTGCTACAGTGGTTACAATTGTTGGCTTGCTATTTGCACTGGAAACCATAAAGTTGTTGCACAAGATCAAACTAAGTATTCTTCCTAACCTTCCACCCACAGACTCTCACTCCCCACAATAAAGGCATCATCAGGAGAGCCATCTCCCAGAGTGGAGTGGCACTTTGCCCCTGGGGAATCAACAAGAACCCTCGCAAGTTCGCTGAGGAGGTACATAGCAGCTTCTCTGGATATAATCACTCTTTCGGAACAAATAATAGGAATACAAAATCTGTGTAAACAGCTTTAACAATAGCACATAATTATTAATTTACACCCACTCTGCAGGTTGCTCAGAAGGTCAAGTGCCCAACTGATAACAGAATGGCTGCCTGTTTGAAGATGGCTGATCCTGGAGCCCTAACACTGGCAGGCACTATCAGTTTGTCCGGTTCACCCGATAGTAAGGATTACATTCCACACAGCCTACTTTACATTCTCATTTTAGACACGATGAAAGCTTTTCTGACAAGATTGCTCACAAAGTTCAATGGGATACAAGCAAATCCAACAGTTTAAACTATATGCTGGCTAACACAGTATATATAAAACAAAGTTTGTTCTGCATATAGTACATGTTCTAATTGTCTGCATTTCTCAGACCCCATTGTCTTCAACCTGATCCTGTCTCCTGTGATTGATGGGGACTTCTTGCCAGAAGATCCTTCCCACTTGTTCCACAATGCAGCTGAAATTGATTACATTGCTGGAGTCAATGACATGGACGGGCATATTTTCACTGCTTTAGATGTTCCGTCAATCAACTCGGATCTAATTAGCACCCCTATGTGAGTTTGAGCCATTTGATCAGTTGAAACAATAACAATGCCAACATGGATGTAACACTATATCAAAACTTAGGTGACAGTAAGGTGTTTTATCAGACCTTAATCCTCACTTTCGGATTTCAGTGACGATGTGAGGAGGCTCTTGGGAGCGTACACAAAGGAGAAGGGCACGGTTGGTCTGAACAATGCCTACTCCACCTATACTTCAAACTGGGGAAGCAATCCCAGCCAGGAGACCATCAAGAAAACCATTGTGGGAGTAGGAACGGACTACATCTTCCTGGTTCCTACACAGGCTGCCCTTTATCTACATGCTGACCATGCCACGTGAGAATATTATCTTGCAATACAGATGTCACAGTTTAATGAGATAATAGTGGTCTCAGTAAAATTTCATTCATATAAATAATTACAGAAATGAAAGTCAAATAGTTTTTGTCAGTTGTGTAGTTATTGTCACATCAATGTTTTTTCTCATTAAAGAACTGGGCGCACCTACTCCTACCTCTTCTCTGAGCCCAACCGTATGGGTGGTCTTATCATGCCCTACCCAAGCTGGATGGGAGCTGACCACGCTGACGACCTGCAGTACGTGTTTGGAAAGCCCTTCACCACACCACTTGGATACTGGCCAAGCCATCGCCGTGTCTCCGGCGCCATGATCTCCTACTGGACCAACTTTGCCAAAACTGGGTATAATTCTGCAGACACAAACGATTGTCAGAGTATCACAGAAACCAAACAACTAAACTAAGTATTGAAATATAAATTAAGCTGCTGTATTTATGTTTTACTTTTTTCTTTTTATGTCCACAGAGATCCCAACAACGGAGGCTCAAGCGTGCCTGTTAACTGGCCAACGTTCACCAGAAGTGCACCACAGTTCCTGGAGATCCATTCTGATATGGACAACAACTACGTGCAACAGAAAATGAGGATGCCTTACGTGAATTTCTGGACCAGGATCCTGCCCAGCCTTCCCACAGTTGTTTCAGAATAAGCATCATGTGCTGTCACCTGTGGATATGTGTAGACAAGTATTGCATCACTAGCTCATAAAAAATAAATGGATAGCAGACAAAAATACTAATCTGTTGGGTTTATATGATCATGTGTTTGGATTTACAATATGACCAGGGGTGCACATAAGTGGTCCGCAGGTGTGCATTTTCTGTCAAAATAAAAGACGCGCACCAGATAAGAAGTTGCAACACGCGTTTGCGTACATAAGATTTTCTGGAGGAGGACAAACATTTGTTTAGAACTCTTAAAGATGTCCAAGAAGCAAGCTCCTTTACGCAATTACTTTGATGTTCCTCCACCTCCAAAGAAATGTCAGAAGGACAATGTCAGAACCCCTTTTCCGAGAATGGAAAAGGGGTTGCAGGAGGTGAGCTGGCTTCAAACAAATGATGAACGCACAGAGTTTTGGTGCAGAATATGCAGTGAAAAAACCACTCTAGCAGACAAAAACAGTGGTTATCGTTCCCACCAACTTGTACCTGAGTATACACACTATCTCACTCTGTCTCTCTCTCACACAGACACACACTGTGTAAATGCAAAAATTGTATAGTACAGGAATAATCAACAGTATTAACTGTATCATTCCAGTGCCATGAACAGCAATCTCAAACGGAAGTTGGGTGAAGTCCATTAACTACAGGTCTTCACTGTGGTCACTGTACCAAACCAGCACACTAATGAATAGAATTCCTCATTCAATAACTATTTCTAATGGACCAGCTTCTCGATATATCCTACATATCTTATTGTTTGCACTGAAGCACCGCAGCAATTTCCTAATGTTGTAAACCTCAACATCTGGCAATAAACCCCATTCTGATTCTGATTCTGATTCTGATACATCAGTCCTTCCAAAAAACAAACTATTGTTGAATCTGAATGTCATCTTTCTGGCTTTGCACTCAGCAAAGTAATTGACAACATTACTCAAGTCCAAATTTCTAGTGGTACACTTATCTTGCACTCTTTTGTCCTATATGTAAATGTAATTTATAACTGCGCCAACAAACTGTTTCATAGTTGATGTCAAGAGGTTCATTGGGCTTTTCCACAAATGACAGTGTTAGACAGACAGTTAGGAAGTACATGTAATATACTTCCCACTATGCCCCAAACCATTAAAACTAGGGGTGTATGGCGTTACTTTTGTGCCATTATTCTGAGCGCACATAAAAAACATTTGCAGGTGCATGTGTTGCATTTTGAGGAGAAATTTATTTTGAGCTATAAAAAGCTAAATTTGAGTGAACAAAACTCGTTGCTGTGTGCAAAACATGTATTTCAGTGTTTGCTATTATCCATACACACAATAGCAGCCCCTCTCGCTCAGTTTTTGCATTTGTGCTCGCTCCCTTAATCGATGTAATCAACTTTAATTTAATGCAAGTGTAAAACAAATGCACAGAAATCAATTATTTTTCTACAATAATTAAATAGACTCAACATCTTTCTTCAACAGAACTGCAGACTGCACAGATGGTACCTTCCCAAAGGATAAAGTACTATAGCTTACTAGGATGTATATTAGACTTATTAGTTACTATATACAATAATGGATTTCTATACATTTAATCAGATGGCCACTTTTGTTGTAAAATTCAGATAATTATTTATTCAAAGTTTTTAAATGACATAACAAAGAAAAATATTTCTTTGTGCCCCCCTTTCCCTGTTAATGCCCAACCTGGCCCCCTGCACAGTTACCAGCTGTCAGCTACGTAGAAAAGGATCCTGGTGTTATTTGTCTCTCAGAAACAGTTCATAACTTCATAACTTATCCATGTCACCTAAAAGGTAAACCTGTTTCTCCATCACCTGTTCAGCTCTGATGATTCAGTAAGGACATCTCCTGGTTTCATCTTCATGTTTCCCTCTCACCAGATGTCCAAACAGATATCATGACCAGCAGCTTTTACAGCTGTGGCTCCAGCAAACCTCAGCTGATACTAGAAAGTAATATTAAATACATTCTAACAACAGCTTATCATGCTTAAACGCGCTGCTGTTGTTTATCCGCTGGTCTCCTCTTTCTAGCGCAAAGTGGGCGATAAACAAACAAGAAAGACGGGACTTGCGGCAGAAAAGCCGATCAGCTGATCATTGATCAGTTTCATGTTTGAAGTAATAACAGGAGAGGAAGGGGGAGTGAATGAGAGAAGTAGATGCAACTGCGCAGCAAAGACAAAAATGTCTATTTTTTAATTCTAGCTGAAGTACGGGACAAATCGCTTCCTTTTCACCTCAATATAGAACTCCGATGGCCAGTCCAGCTGGGGCTCAATATATCAGTTATCAGTTATTAAGCTTAACGTGGAAATACTATGCAAACATTCAGGGATGAACTTACACACTTGCTTTACTTCTCTGGGATAGTTTTCGCCGAAATGAAATGCTGCGGTTAGGAAGCATGTAGCGAAGCTCCAAATACTCCAACAGACCGCCGACAGGTCTCGCAGACAACAGCCGCTCTATCACGTGACACATACTGCTCCGATGCGCCGAGCTGGGTTACGCCAAGTAGCGTGGTTTCTGAGATGATTTTGTGATACTTCGGATCGGATTACATTTTTTATTTCTCTCTGATATCCGATCCAGTAATTTAGGTCAGTATCGGACCGATACGTAATATCGGATCGGTCCATCTCTATCACAAATATTAGATCTTGAAACCACATTATCAAAACAAAGATTTTTTTTTTCTTTTAGGTATAACAGTTACATAATTGGTAAAATATACTATTCTGTGTTTTACCTGTCCCTTTCTCTCCTACACTACTGATAACTATTGGTCTCTCCCAGAGTCAGTGACCTAGTGGATACGGTACTTCCAGAATGAATGAAACAGGCATGACAGGAAAACAACAACAAAAAAAAATGGTAATGCGTACCGTATTTTTTGTACCACAAGGCACACCAGATTATAAGGTGCATTAAGCGAAACAAAACAGTCAGATAAGTCAAACTTTACTCAATTCATTCTTCTTGCTTCCTCCACTTCCGTACTATTGATTCATTAATGTTGAATTCTCTTGCAGCTGCTCTATTCCCATGTTGTTGCAGTGTATTAATGACTAACCTCGTATTGTGGATGGATTATCTCAGTTGTTCTCCCAACTGAAGTTTGGTCCGTTTACAGCATCTTACCATGCAACTGCATTTGTCCCTAACTATTGGGAACCCTTGGAACTTGGAAAAAAGTTAGCGTTCATCCTCCAGCTTTACTGTTTAGTAGAGGTGGGAATCACCATACATCCCACGATACTATATTATCACAATACTTAACGCACGATACGATATTATTGCAATTTTTAAAAATATTTTGCGATATTCAGA